GGGGGGGGGGACAAACAGCTGACAGGTATAAATAATTATCGTCGCCACATTTACACAGAAGCTGACAGGGATCATTTCGGACAATATTGCAAACAAAAAACACTGGAATGAGATACTGAAAGAAGTTTCTCTGCCTTTGCTATTCGAAAATAAATTATATTTGCTTATCAAAAGCTGACCCAAATTTGATATTAAATTCTTCCATGGTTCGCAACAAAACGCCTGTGGTAGCATTCACTTTGCATCATTACGAATGCAGTTACTACTTAAATTTAGTGAAGTTACAGCATAGCGTAGCATATTTCTCGTGTTTTCAAACACTCACTTCTTTTTGAAAATTTAGTCAAAAAATGTGAAACAAGCCATTTTAGGAAGACTACACATCAGACATAAATGCCATGACCAAGTGAACAAATATGCTGGCGATGTGACCGCAATAATTCTACATGTCGGTCGTAAGCTCTTCGATCCTGGACTGCAGAACTTCAGCTAATAACAGTAAAGTGGGATTTCATTAAAACTTCCCAGCTGATTCTAGAATTTACCGCATTCGTGCGCTCAGTATCTCATCAATGAAAATAAAACAAGAAAGGTCCAGATTGATAAAGAAAAAAATTTTTAAAGTAAGATTTTCTTTCACAAATCACTGATATAAATTAATCTCGATTAAGTGATTCATTGATAAAATCAGAAGTTGCTGAAACTCCTCCATCTGCCAATTTTTCAAGAAGGTGTAATGACGCCTGCTGAGGGTAAATCCCTTCAAGCGGATATTTTTGCTGGACATTTTTCCTCGCCAGTAATTGGATTTCTTTCTGAAATACAAGGAATAATTTTCATTGCAAAAATCGACACGATTTCTTGAAGTCGACGAGGTTATGGACGACTCCAAGGATGAAGAGTTCAGCTTACGCAAATGCAGCTACAGAACAGTACTGAAATAGCGGGACGCGCCAGGGTAGACTGTGCGGTCAGATGTTTTGCGCAGTTCCGTCCAGTGGACCTTTGTTGTTAAAAACTTTATACTATTTTACACTATGACATGTGTGCAAAAATAATCGATATTCCTATACGCCGGAATTTCCCACTTAATACACATGGTATGTGAAACGCATGCGTACGTGAAAGCTGAACCTCTAGATCGACAGGATGGGAAACATCCTTCCAAAATTTAAAATTCTTAGTTTTCTAGCTTCCTAGTCAATGACTTTGGCGCCAAAACTCTCACGCAACCCTACGTGAGACCTCGGCGTACCTGGGAGCTAAGTTTTAGTTCGTAAGGCTTTTGCATAGGCAGAAAATATCCTCGTGTATTCCTAGCTTTTGTGGCTTCAGAGACAGTAATTTTCCCGCTAGAACCTTACAGGGTCATACGTGAAACTCGGACGCACGCTAGGCTAGTTTAAATTTGCACGGTCGCGTATACGTAGGGGACATCCCCTAAAATTTCAGCTTCCTGGCTTTTGTGGTTCCTGAGATAATTTTTATCGCTAAAAGTTTCACGAGGTACACGTGAAACAGAGGCGTAAGGGCTGAATTTGAATTTGCTGAGTAGCACGTGGGCAGCGGGTATTCTCCCAAAATATATGCTTCCTAGATCTTGTGGTTCCTGAGCTGAAAACTTAGGATGAAACGTACTCGGACACACACAAAGATATACACACACAAACACACACATAGACAAATAGGAGCGTAGCAACATGGGTTTTGTGCTGCTGTTACACTGCACAAAACGCATAAAAAAAGCAGTTGATTTTCCTAAATCTATAATTGCTTGGTGGTGATAGATTGGTGCATGGTTAAAAGAAACAAGATTCCTCTCTTTCCGAAAAGCAGAACGCAGATCAGCATCACAGAAAAACGGCAAGAATTCATTGGCTTATCTTCACTGAGTCTATCCCAGCCAACTGGCCGGCTACCTAGGCTAGTATCTTGTACGAAATGCGACTACATCTCAGGTGCTGTAAAATTAAACATGGAAGACAATGATTTGCGGTGCATACCAGATAGGCCGGTGCGATTATCCGTCTTTGCATTAACTTGTACTAAAGTAAGATGGTTTGGCAAATCTGCTTCTGTTTTACTTTTTTATGCGTTTTCCCTATGCAGCGCTATAGCGCTGCAACAGTGAGCAAAAACGCATACTGTCGAGAGGTCATCCGTGTTTGTTTTTGTGCGTGTTCGGAAGCGAGTGAACTTTGTCACTTGCTTTCAACCCCTGCATGCCGATAGAGGCCAAAACACGGCCAATATGAGTCCAAATGTTAGCCAGGTGCTAGGCTATAGCGCAGGAACCGTTCTTGCTATTAGCGATCTGCAAGTTTAGTGCAAAAACGCAGGATCGCAGCGGCAAGAATGGTGCATTTCAGCCTGGGTTGAGTATGGATGTTTTTATGCGTTTTTGCATGTATGCAAATGTAAAAACGCATATTGTGACAAAAATCTTATATAAGGGCACAGAATATCCCTGTGAAATTTCAATTCTTAATTTGCCTTGTTCCTGAATTTGAATAAACTTCTTGAGGACTCTGCGTTAAACTGAGGGATAGCAGAATGCTGATTTCAGAGACAGAGTACTACACATGGAATGGGAACACGCTCCAGAGATTCCAGCTTCCTAGTTTCATCGGTTGCCGATTTGAAAGTGAGTGATAATGCAAACACATGCGTATATATGTATGTATATAAGTACATACATACATAGACAAGTTTTTGTCAATATACGTTTCTGTATTTCCATAAATGTGCAAAAACGAATAAAAAAGTAGCCCCACCAAGTACAGGTATTATCTTCTTCGGTGTTCGCGCGGGAGATTCTGGTGTACTGCTCTCAAAAATTGACGATTTGAACGTGTTTGAAACTTTCTTGGAAGGCGCTGTATGTTGCCCCTCATCACCAAAGATACGTTCACGTGTATTCGCTGTTTGCCCATTCCGTTTCGGTGTCTGAAATGATAAGAGAATTACAAAATACGATGTACCTAGTAGCAGTGCTCAAGATGAATTGGTGATGGTCAGCAAATATCAGGGCCATCCTGCAATTGCTAAAGCCTTATCATGTACTTCTGTTGAACGAATCGTTGAGCTAGTAATCCTTTCAAGAGGCGAAATGAACCAGGATCACCTGGTGATGTAGCATTGATCAGAGCAATTCGGAAAGTTCCAGTTGCACAGCTGGACAACTAGGCAAAGAATCGCGATGGGTCCAAGCATGAGAAAACTAATCAGATGTCGAAAATGCTCCTTTTTACACCAAATTAACCTTATAATTAACGGAGACCAAGCTCTGCTCGTAAAATTTCTGGGCTGCTATCAGCTAAGTGCAGCCCGATCTGGATAGCTTGTCACTTTTAAGATATCGATGTTTGGTAGGGAAGTGGTTTATCCACGCAAGAAGAGGACTATCGTAGTATTAATGGCAATTGTCACAAGGCCTCAGTTGGTTTTTTAGTAGCATTATCTTCTTTTGTCTCTGAAACTGGCAGGAAGCGTTCTTGGTCTCCGTCACACATTAAGGATGAATCATAGACACACAACACACGCACACACACACTCCTTCGAAAGACATAAGCTTTAAATACTTCATTTCTTTCAGTTCGCGACCAATGCTCGCATCCTTGCTCCACTGCAATCACTCGGGATGGATGTATCCATCGATGATCTTGCATCATGATGTGCTAGTGCCTAAGCATTGTGTTTTTTCCTTTTACACCGGTCCCAATCTATCTTTCATAAATTTGCGAGCACTTCTGTGCTTCTCCTTCTTTTGTACAAAATTAAATCTAGTCTGGAATGCAGCAGGCTTGTCGGCGCAATCATGGGTTTTTACACCAGACTTGAAGTACTCAGGTTGTTAATTGCATGAATAGTTGCTGCTTTACACTTACCTACCTTTTGCGCTCACTAGCGTAAACAATCGTAAATTTTGCATAAAAGAAATGAACAATTTCCGTTTAACGGTCATTCTCCGGAAATGACCCAGCTGTTCAGTGAGCAATTTTTCCGCCAAAGCCTTAAGTGCCCATGCGTGAAAGCCACACATACTTGAAGACTGAATTTGAAATATTTAAGTTGTGCTTTGACAGGAAACATTTCCCAAAAATTTCAGCCTCGTAGTTTTCCTGACTCCCGAGTTAGTAATTTTCCCTCCAGAACTTTCACACTCCCGTCCGTAAGTACCACTCGTACCGGGTTGCTAAATTTGAAATCTTTGAGTTGTACGTGGATGGGAGATGTGCCATTAAAATTTTAGCCTTCAGCTTCTCTGGTTGCCGAGTTAGTAATTTCCGCAATGGAACTTTCACGTACCGCTATGTGAGAACCAAGAATACCTGCGGGCTGAATTTGAAATCTTTAGCTCGTACATGCACAGAGAATATCCCTGCAAGGATTCAACTCTCAATGTTTTCTGGTTCCTGAGATCGCTTTACCGTCAAAAAATTTGCATATTTTTTAAGGGGTCCGTAAACGGCACCCAGGCGCACGCGGGTGATGATATTAAAAAGGGAGGGTCGCATCGCACATAGTGTAGGCACATACTTCCGAAGTTTCAGCCTTCCGTCATTTCTAGTTCTCGAGTTGAAAGTTGGTGATAAAAAGTGCGAACACATAGACACATATACGTACATACCTATACACACACACACGCAGCCTCTTGCCAGTATGCATTTTTACATTTGCATACGTACAAAAACGCACAAAAACTAAAACCAACTTTCAATTAACCTTGCATCCTGTTTTCTGTTCCCAAACAAATCCTTGATTCCAAAATTTTAAAGTCCAGAAAATAAATAGTCTCAATTTGGGACAAACTCCTAATTGAAATCAAATCGCATCTTCTTTGTGTTTTGACTTACGGCTTCAGAACTATATTCTGGCTGACCTATAAACCAAGATTTAACAGCAGACTCGAATTTCTGGAGCTACGAAATCGGGATTTTAAGAGTGCAAAATGTCAAGCACTGCATCGGTCTCGCATTTTTTGGTAGCAATGGTTTTTGGCAATTATGCAAAATGTAGAAAATAAATGAATGTGTTTGAGTTCTGCCATTAGCTTTCTCGTAAACAATCCTCGAAGAGTCTTACCAGCGGCTGCTGCTGTTCGCACTTGCAACCACTTGGGGAATTTTTTGCCTCCGTCTGTCATAGAGAATGAATACGGTGAAACACAGAAAGTGTTTAAATCGTAATTTCTCCGCCGATTTTTCTGGGTATATCTACTTCCCATAAACTTTCACATTTTATGCCTTTGAACAAGGTAGGCAAGTAGGAATTTTCTGGAAACCTGCCACAGTGCATACCTACACTAAATTTGCTAAAATCAACGTTTTTAGATACCGAGCCAAAAAAATTAGTGTAAAGCACAGTTGTAAATCCACAGATTTCTTTTCCTATCTTTTTTCCAGGTCCGGAAGAGAGGAGCGAAAATGGAAGGAGCGAGGTAAGGAGAAGAGGAAGCGGGCGGTAACTACTTCCGAAATTCCAAATTTTCTGCGGCGACAGTTAATTTTTTATCAAATGACGGACATACCGGAGGAAATAAAATTTTCCAGCTGCGGATGTCTCAATTTTACTAGCTGAAATGTAAAGGAATCGTCTCTTTTTCTTCAGAAAAAGAGCTGTAGTAAGACGAATGCAAAATTTGCCAAGTTTTCCAAAGGCTACACGCCAGCCAGTTATATAAAGCAAACGATGAATATCTCGAATAGCAAAAGCTCGCCGAGCTAGTAACAATATACACAAATACATTATACATATTGTTTACATTTAAAGTTCGAACATAATTGAAGATAAGGAGGGACTAATAGAAAAAAAGCACTCTGCTTCAGAAATGTCCCGAAAACGACTGGAGATCAGATATACACAATGATAATGCGCTTCTTGCGCCTAGTTCAGCTGATACACCAGTTTGAGGCTAATATGCTAGACTTCACACTTACAACCCTTATTTTAATAAATCACTGCAAGGCTGTAGAAGTTGCTTCTGAAAAAAAGACCGAAAATTTCCCGATAAAAAAAATACACAAAGGTGGAATATGCGGAATTAAACAGAACATACAAATGGCGTCGCAACCAAAAAAGCAAAAATTGCGAAAAAACATGACAAAATACGGCTGGGAATGCATTTTTGCATGTGTGCAAACATACCCTCCCATACCCTCCTTTTTATGCATTTTTGCATGTGTGCAAATGCAAAAACGCATATTGGCAGGAGGCTGTGTATGTATGTTTGTGTGTTCACACTTTCTGTTACACACTTTCAACTCGAGAGCCTGAAAAACTAGAAGGCTGAAACTCCGGAAGTACGTGCTCACATCACGTACGACGCTCCCCTTTTAATATCATCACCCGCTTACGACTGGGACCCACGCACGAACACCTTAAAAAATTTGCAAATTCTTTAGCGGGAAAACAATCTCGAGAACCACATGATGCTGGATCTTCATGCTGGATCTATTCAGCTGCTGGATCTTCGCTGTTCACAGGTATGAATATTTGAGAGATTTGGCGGAATAACTGCTAACTCGGTAACCAGGAAAGCCGGAAGGCTGAAATTTTGTGGGAATGTTCCCTGTCCAAGTACGACTCATATATTTCAAATTCAGCTTCCACCTATGTGTTGTACTCACGTAAGGGCGTATGAAATTTTCTGCGAGAAAATTACTAACTAGGGAACCAGGAAAGCTAGGAAACTGAAACTTTAGGGGAACGTTCTTTGTCCAAATACAACTTAAGTATTTCAAATTCAGTCCTGAGGTATGAATGGTTCTTACGTACGAGCATTTAAAAGGTTTGGCGGAAAAATTTCTCACTAAATAGCTAGGTTACTTTTAAAGAACGACCGTTAAGTAGAAATTGTACATTTACTTTACGCAAAATTTATGGTGATTTATGCTAGTGATCGCAAAAGGTAGGTATAAAGCAACAACCACTCATGCAGTTAATGACCTGAGTATTTCAAGTCCGGTGCAAAAACGTATGATCGCACGGGCCCGCCCGATGCGTTCCAGCCTGGGTTTACTTACATCTATTTACCTTCCAAACAGAATGGATGAATTGAATAATTCTAGAAATTTACATAGCCCTTGTAGTCTCTTAATTACATCAATGAAACGTTTCTGTTGACAAGAGCGGAGGCACATAGTGTAAGGGATGGACCAAAAATCATTTGTTTGAAATGCCTGGACAGATTAACATAGCTCAGTGTGTCCCAAGGCTGAAATCGTCTGAATAAACAATTCCCACTGGCCTATTAATGCAGCTACACCTCTCCGGATGAAGAAATAGTTTCGCAAAAGACGCCAAGCTAAAAAATTTCTTTTTATCTCTATGTAAATCTAAGTAGCGAAGCGCTAGACTTGTCAGTGCGATCATGCGTTTTTGCATGATTTCAGATAGATCGTCTTTAATACGGGGCTGTCACTGTGGTGTTGCAGTTTGGGGTATCAAACTCCTGTACGCAGGGGAATGCTGAGACAGAAGCAGGGTACATGCTGAGACCGAGTTAACCTGGTCTGGGCCATGCACTGAAAATTTCAGCACTGTGGCTATCTTGACTGTGGGGTTACATCAAAATCCAAGTGTGCGTAAGTGCGGGGAAACGTGAATGTTATTTTCATCTATACCTGCCCAAACATGGCCCAGGTCATGTTCAGAAAATTCCAGCACTCCAGATGTTTTGCTTGCGGACTTATGCAAAATTTCACTTGTTCATATGTGAGACGCAAGTGAACCATCAAACGAACACGAAAAAAATTTCAGCCCTCTAGCTTTAGTTCCGAAATTCCAAAATTGTTTGCGTCAAATTTTACGTGGCCGTACGTGATGCGCAGAGGGGTGAAAAAGTTCAATTTACTTTATGAGCACATTAACGGACAGCAAACTCGACGACTTCCCATTCATCTTAATTCTCGAACTGGCATGGTGCCACTTT